ACAATTTTCTTTTTACATGGTGAGTGTGTTATGAACAGCCGAAGCATTTTTATACCATCTTTTATACAAATCGCAGTATTCAATCCTTACTTTATTAAGTGTGGAGCACATCATTAACAAAATTTACAATCTGTGTAACAGCTGAGCAATATATATATATATATATATATATATATATACAAATGTAGCATATTCCAGTTAGTGAACATAACAGAGCACAGGTGGTATTTTCTTATTCTTGAAATGTCTAATATTTAGTGTCACAGTAACTAGGTCTAAAATATTAAAACTTATATGCTTTTTTAAATTGTTAAATATTACTTTTTACATAAAAATGTATATCAGCTGTAATATATATATATATATATATATATATATATATATATATACATATATAGCCTAATGAATTATGAAAACTTCTGAACAGTGAACATTTGAAATTAAACTAGTTCAATAGCAGTAGGGTAAACTTAAATGCCTTCAAACTATAGAGAGTATCTCAAACCTAACAGTATTCAATCGTAGTTATTAGAACGGAAGAAATATAAAGTTCGCGTTTCATATACTCGACTCACTGAATAAATTATTAACATTTAATTATTTGTAGATCATATTATTTATGCTACATGTAACTATGGCAGTTTATTCCCTTAGAAATAAATTATTTGTTATAGGTAAAACTTTGAAGGAATCTTGTTAGTGAGTTGTTAGAATAAAATATCATAATACATTTTATGCAATGTGACAAAAAATATGATGGCATGTTAGTTTGGTTTCCCAATCTATATCATAACAGACAATGATTTAATCTTTAATTCACTCTGTTTGGTGTAATTATCATACTATCTGATTGAATCATGGCTTTGCAAATACTTAAAATACATTTTGTATCAAATTTTTTTTATCATACCTACTAAGGAGTTGAGGTTCTACCAAATAACAAAAAGGATTGAATCTAAATTGTGTTAAATGAAAACTTCACTGAATGTACTCAAGTATGTATTGTGATATACATAATATCCCTTAGAAGATTAAGCCATCAACGAAAGTTCATTTTGAGGAAATGTAAGTCATATCTTGGCCGATCACGTCCACGTATGATCTTGCTTATTTCTAACTGGCCAACATTTAATTACCTTATAGTTGAGTTAAATGAATGAAGAATATATAAAATTATTTGTTTTTTTAACAGAACTAGGATTTTTTTCTTTTTTTACATTTTCTAGTTTGGATTAAATTTGTATATCGGAAAGTTTCCCAGACAAATAAAGTTCTTAAAATAGCTTACTTTGAATCAGTCAGTCACAACGTAGAACTTCGTACATACGTACATCAGTTCGAGTTGCCATACCACATTAGCACAGAGATGTAGTTGGCGATTCAAATCATATCGTGGTAGAAGTAGTAAGAGTATAAGCAGTAATCAGACAGATTAGGGTTTGAAGATGTTATTCAAGGAGTATAATACAGTGAAATAAATTTCGAAAGAGAAAAAGGATAGGGAGATGAGGAATTCAGAAGATTAGAATTTGGTAGAACACAAAGAGTGGATGCACCTTCGCCACTCCAAAGGTGCAAAGGAGCTTACTTTGAATACCAGAAACCAAATAGTAATAATATCTACCTATCCTGCTTTAAAGATGCCTAGTCTGAGTTGGAAAGCTTCACTTATGTAAACTGAAGCAATCAAATATTAAAAGCATATATAATATATAAAGCATATATAATATTTAAAGCATATAACTCCGCCTGTAGCTCTTCTAGAGTTACTGCCGGTCCCAAGCCCGGGTAAAGGAGGAGGGTTGGGCATGGGGTTAGCGACCCCATCCCGTAGAAAAGCTAACTCGCTAAAAAAACGCTAACCAGAAAAAATAATCCAAACCATTTAAACTCTGCCCTGGGAGTTGAAGGAATAATTATGACGCCTCATGATGAAAGCCGAAATTCTTCGGAAGTCACGAGACCGATGCACCTTCTAACAACCAGAGCAACACTCTTTATAGGTACATGGAACGTCCGGACAATGTGGGAAACAGGAAAGACCAGCCAAATAGCAATGGAAATGAGGAGATACAACTTGGCAGTACTCGGAATCAGCGAAACCCATTGGACACAAACTGGACAACAAAGGCTAGGTACAGGAGAGATGCTGCTGTACTCCGGTCACGAAGGGGAAAATGCGCCACACACTCAGGGAGTTGCTCTAATGCTGTCCAGAGAAGCACGAAATGCACTTGTGGGATGGGAATCTCATGGACCCAGGATAATCAAAGCATCATTCAGAACAAAGAAGCAAGGGATCACAATGAATGTTATCCAATGTTATGCACCCACCAATGATAGCAACGACGATGATAAAGATCAGTTCTATGAAAGGCTGCAATCAATTATAGCAAAGTGCTCACGAAAGGACCTCACCATCCTTATGGGAGATCTAAATGCTAAAGTTGGAGTGGACAACACAGGATATGAAGATGTAATTGGACGACATGGACTAGGAGAGAGAAATGAAAATGGGGAGAGACTTGCAAACCTATGTGCTTTCAACAAATTGGTTATAGGCGGCACAATATTCCCACACAAACGCATACACACAGCCACATGGATCTCACCGGACCACACCACAGAGAACCAGATTGATCACATCTGTATCAACAAAAAATTCCGAAGATCAATGGAAGATGTGAGAACCCGGAGAGGAGCTGACATAGCTTCAGATCACCACCTGGTTGTGGCCAAGATGAGACTGAAGCTAAAGAAAGACTGGACAACTGGACAAACAGCACTACAAAGGTTTAATACAGCTTTCCTTCGAGATACTGACAAACTCCATGAATTCAAGATAACTCTCAACAACAGGTTCCAAGCTCTACAGGATCTACTGAAAGAACAAGAAACTACTTTGGAGGACAACTGGAAAGGGATAAAAGAAGCACTAACTTCAACGTGTCAGGAGGTTCTTGGTCCTAAGAAGCACCATCACAAGGAATGGATCTCTATGGGGACCCTGGACAAACTTCAAGAAAGGAAGAACAAGAAACTAGCAATTAACAACAGCCGAACACGAGCAGAGAAAGTCAAAGAACAAGCAGACTACGCAGAAGCAAACAAGCAAGTGAAGAAAAGCATTAAGGCCGACAAGCAGAAATACATGGGAGATCTAGCAACGACGGCGGAAAAAGCTGCAAGAGAAGGGAATATGAAACAACTATATGATACAACGAAGAAATTGGCAGGGAGATATAGCAAACCAGAGAGACCAGTCAAAGACAAAGAAGGAAAGACAATCACTGAGATTCAGGAACAGAGGAAAAGATGGGCAGAATACTTTGAGGAACTGCTGAATAGACCAGCCCCATCGAATCCACCGAACATCGAAGCAGCCCGCACAGACCTTCCAATAGATGTCACTCCACCAACGATCGAAGAAGTCAAGATGGCCATCAGACAAATCAAAAGTGGGAAGGCGGCAGGACCTGACAATATACCAGCAGAAGCACTGAAGTCAGACATTGAAATAACTGCAAACATGCTTCACCTTCTATTCAAAAAGATTTGGGAAGAGGAACAAGTGCCAACGGACTGGAAAGAAGGATATCTCATCAAGATACCAAAGAAAGGAGATCTGAGCCAATGTGAGAACTACAAAGGCATCAGTTTGTTATCAGTACCAGGAAAAGTTTTCAACAGAGTGCTGCTGAATCGGATGAAAGACGCAGTAGACGCCGAACTTAGGGATCATCAGGCTGGATTCCGTAAGGATCGGTCGTGCACAGACCAGATTGCGACACTACGGATCATCGTTGAACAATCAGTTGAGTGGAACTCATCACTATACGTCAACTTCATCGACTATGAGAAGGCGTTTGACAGCGTGGATAGGAGAACATTGTGGAAACTTCTTCGACACTATGGAGTTCCTCAGAAGATCGTCAACATTATCCAAAACTCATACGATGGATTACAGTGCAAAGTGGTGCATGGAGGACAGCTGACAGATGCATTTCCAGTAAGGACCGGAGTCAGACAAGGCTGTCTACTCTCCCCATTTCTCTTCCTTCTAGTGATTGACTGGATTATGACGAATTCGACATCTGAAGGGAAATACGGAATACAATGGACTTCTCAGAATCAATTAGATGATTTGGACTTCGCAGATGACCTAGCCCTCCTCTCTCATACACACGACCAAATGCAGATGAAGACAGCAAATGTAGCAGCAGCCTCCGCATCGATAGGCCTCCACATTCACAAAGGAAAAAGCAAGATTCTCAAATGCAACACGGAGAACACCGACCCAATCACACTTGATGGCGAAACTCTGGAAGAGGTGGAAACATTCAAGTACCTGGGGAGCATCGTTGATAAACAAGGAGGATCGGATGCAGATGTAAAGGCAAGGATTGGCAAAGCAAGGGCAGCATTTCTACAATTGCAGAACATATGGAACTCAAAACAACTCTCAACCAATTTCAAGGTCAGAATCTTTAATACGAACGTCAAGGCAGTCCTACTGTATGGAGCTGAAACGTGGAGAACTACTACGGCCATCATCAGGAAGGTACAAGTATTTATAAACAGTTGTCTACGCAAAATACTCAACATCCATTGGCTGGATACTATCAGCAACAGCGTTTTATGGGAGAGGACAAACCAGCTTCCAGCTGGAGAGGAAATAAGGAAAAGACGTTGGAAGTGGATCGGACATACATTAAGGAAATCACCAATGTGCATCACGACTCAATCCCTAACTTGGAATCCGGAAGGGAAGCGGAAAAGAGGAAGGCCAAAGAACACACTACGCCGGGAAATAGAAGCCGATATGAAAAGGATGAATAGCAACTGGAAAGAACTGGAAAGGAAGGCTCAGGACAGAGTTGGATGGAGAATGCTGGTGAGCGGCCTATGCTCCTCGACGAGGGGTAACAGGCGTAAGTAAGTAAGTATATCTACAACTGGAGCTCAAAATATTTTCAATGACATCAAAATAATAAATTTACCATTGGAATCATTTGTACTAATTTTGCTACTTCACTCGATAACATTTCATCGACAGCTTTGATTAGTTTTGGTTGTAGTGCAGGAAATGTTCTAAAATCATGTACTTCTAAAGATTCTTGCATTCTGTTAATGTTAGGGAAATCACCAATTGATATATGTTGTGTACGTGATATGGTATCGTATACTTTGGATAAGTTATTGATAAGCTCCTTTTTCTTAGCATCTTTACCAACGATTGTTGGCATTTCTTTTTTCAAATACGAAATAACATAAGCATGAACCTAAAGTAAGAAAAAAGCAGTAAATGAGAGCATTTAACAAACATTTGATATATTCAATACAAACAGTATCTAATAATATACAAGATTTAGTATGCTTTAGTGTCCTAGAAATTGGAGATTTTGTATGAATTTCACTCAGTGAACCCACCGTAAACATAATCAATGCCCTCTAGAAAGATTACCTAGCTTATTCGGTATGTCCGTATATAAATCACACCTGTCTGAAATATAAATATAGTGGAGGTCGGTTGTTATTTCTAACCTCAAGAAAGAGGTTAGAGAAGAGCTTGAGAATAATAGGTTAACAGGAACCTAGCTACCGGCTTAAGTTCAATAATGGTGGTCGGGTGTGTCATTGCCCAAATCGGAGATACTAAGCTTTAGAGTAAATAACAGACTAAATTAGAATTAGGATCCTGATTGGTGATCAGGCACATGATACTGGTTAGGGATCCTCAAAACATAACAGTTATGATCTATCTACAACGAAACCACAGTAAGATTAAAGTTCAAAAGTGACAATTTACACAAACAATAACAAAATACTTACTTTGGCAAGACGAGCACGTCTAATGAAATCATTCAATTTTCTCAGAGTACCATTTGCAGGTAGAGTAGCCAAATCACGAAACAAATCCATTTTCTCCAATTCAAACAACTTTCTATTAGTATCAAATACTAACTGACGGTCCCAAAAACTACCAATATATACACGTGCTACTTCAGGTGTATTCAATATTTTTCCTAAACTCCACATTAAAGCACCATACACTCTCATAAGTTGTTGAGAATCAATTGTATCTGCCTTATTCAAAACAATACGTATTTTGTCTTCGTTCGACTAAATACAAAAACAAAAACAAGTGATTTTTTAAAACAAAATATGCATCGCACTATATTACTGACGAGTATTTTAAATGGAAACACCAGGCATTCTATTTATTTTTAGTATGGATTCAACGACTACAGCTAACAAAGGAAGCTTATGCACCTGTAATAATCATTTATTAGACCATATATATATATATATATATATATATATATATATATATATATATATATATATATATAATCTGGCGTACATTATTTCCTTGTTTTCCTAATAATTATTGAAGATATACACAACTGTTTTGTGAAAGAATAACGACAGTAATGTTTCCACTCGCCGGCACTAAACTGAATGACACAACTAGTTCTGTTGTACAACCATAGAACTAGAGGCTTAGACAAACAAGATGAATCTTAGTATCCGAACATATCCAGTCAAACCACATAAGACAGAAATAATAAGCTGGTTTTCTGACTGGTTGTTTAATAATTAACGTAGTCATACTTGAGTATTGCTTAAAATGTACTTACTCAATGAACTTCTGTATATTGATATAATACTTTAACAAAATAATATTATCAATCACACCGTATGAAACAATTCTATATTAACACAAAACTTCATGCACGGCTCCTGAAGAAACTATATAAACACTAGTAATTTAACAGTTAGACAGTGTGATACAAAAATTTTGCATAAAAATTAGTGCACGGATTGTACGACATTAATTTCATTTCAAACCAATAAGGTCACTTAAGTCAGTTAGTCATTCAGTCGGTCAGATGCGATCTGATGCGTATGTACATCGGTTCAAGTTACAATGCCAGAGATGGAATTGTGACACGAAGTCCCATAATAGTAGATGTATTAACAGTATGAGTAGTGATTGAAAAGACTAAGAGTCAAAAATACGATTCATTGAAATATAAATTGGTGAAATAAAAACACCGAAAAAGTAATAAGAGATTTAGAATCTCAGAATTCAGGATAAGACAAAGAATGGATGAACCTGAGCCACTGCAAAGATTTTGAGCCATGTCATTTAAGGTTTCTAAACATTGGTTTAAATAATCACACAAACCACAAATAGGTAGATTACACCTATTAACATGGTTCAGTCCAATTTTCAATGACCTTACAGACTGATGGCATGTTTTGGCTTGACCGCCCCCACACACAACATCGAAGATCGAGGTAGTTGGTGGTTGGGCATACGTAATGCATGTCACAACCACCTAAGTTGATGAAGAATTACTACCCCATAGACCTATTTGCCATCTTTATCTAATACCTTATTCCTAACCCAGGCACTGCCTACTCAGTGGTCCTAAAATACACGAGAAATGCTCCGAAGACGTCTATGATTGAATACTAGTAACCTATGAATATCCTCTATTGTTACTACCCACCTTTCACACTCATAAAGCAAGGTGAAGCGAACTACTAAAGCCAGCCATTACTGACATGAATCTACATCGACTCAAGTTACTACCTTTCGAATCAACACAGAAAGAGTAAATCAATAAGATGGGAAATGTGTGCACGTATTGTAGTGGAGCAGCTTTTCAACCTGAATCGATGATTGAAAGTTTAGGAGCCTAAATCACTAATCCATCATAAATCCACCGTCAACCAATAAGACTCAGCAGTAACTTGCTCAAGAATGAGCGAACTTCCGACTCAACCAGAAAAACGGTTAAGATAAATTTGGACTAAAAATCCTAGGATCATATGAAATGAACGCTCAAAACACACTAATTTCGAATAACTAACCAACATGTATGGAAATATGTAATTCATTAGCATAAAACACTTATTGGTAATAACAGTAACCAAATAGGCATAAAAATCAATTTTCTTTGTTTATTATGTTGATTTATTTTGAACTAACCAACCCTTGACATATTAAATGTCAAAACACTTCTGAAATAAAGCAAACGAAAAATGAATAATCGGAAATAAACAAATTATATGTAATGTACTTTAGTCTAAATGAATTTCTCTGTCAATAATAATGTGCAAAAAGAGTAAAAATCACTGGATGAATTCACTCTGAAACCGTTCAATAGACAGTTAGAGAATGCAAATGAAATCGAGAAAAGAGTGACAGAAAAACAAGACAAGATTTTCCATGTGTATTCATTGAGCCATGAGTGAATGAAAATGCTTACCTAAAAAACTAGAAGAACGCTTTATTGAAAACGGGAACAAATAGTCAGAACTTCACAAAAAAAGACGTTCAAGATATGAAAGATTTCTAAATTATTAACATTTCAAGCTAATTTATTGAACGGCTCTTATTCTGGTTGTCTTATTATGATTTTTTCTCACCTATTCTCTTTATCGTTATTTCAGTTTGCGTGGTACACTACATTATGTTCACTTCTATGTAACACTTTTTCAATAAAATAACGTATTTTTAAAGCTATTGTGGCGAATTTATCCAATATTAACTGATACAGATTCTGTAAAGTTATTTGAACTAAAATATATTTACATTCAGTGTCATTAGAACTCTCCAACAAAATATAAAATTATGGTATTGAAAAAGTTCGTAGGCGCTTAAAAATGAAGCTGAGAAATTCGTTCCTTTCAGGATCCTGAAGCCCATGTGCACCATTGGTTTGGAATCAGGGTTTTCCAACTACCCTAGGTGGATCCTCCACATCTACTAACCCGGTTAAAGCGCCGGACATTCGATTTTCGTCCTCTCACTTTTGTGAACAACACTCCCGCCACGAGAAGGCAGTGAGTAGGACTTCTCTGGCAGAGGCTATATATTCGCGTGGCCATATGAGAGCATTTCCAGAGGGAGAGCAGACTCTCCCCACTCTCGGCCGTACCAGGGCATTTGGGGGCTCTCTTATTTATGGTCGAATTTTATTGGATACAATATATTAGTCACGAGACTTTAGTGGGGAGAGGTTACTGTTAAGTTCTCAGCCACAGTAAAAAAGGCTCTTGAACCAGGTTCTTCTAATATGAATACGGTATGTTCGAAAATCTCGAATAACATCTAAAACCACAGCTCTTATAATTGAATTTCACACTTGAAAATCTTATGGAAGAGGGTTTCCAACTCTAACCAGTCCCACGCAAAACTCTGACATGCATTCAAAAAGGCTACCATAACAAAATAATCCCTAACCATGAAATTTGTGAATGTGGGTTCAAATCAACAAAGTTTCTTTAGATTTGATAAAAGACTGAATGATTTTTAGTAAGAGTTGGTATAAAGATCTGTTCTTATCTAATACTAATATTTAACCCAGAATAATATCGAACCACGATACACTGAAACAGAAGCGTACAATAAAGCGCACCATAAAATGGAGTCGAACGGAAAACCCAAAATAACGAAGAAAACTGACAGTTACTCATTTACTTACACAAAAAGTAACAGCTTATAACTTGAATCGACAAACATAGAACTATCAGTTTGGAAAGCATTGATTACTATGAGATGAATTGTTGATTTCGATGGTTAATAGAAAACATCAGAAAGCTAAGTAAACATGTACTTTACTAAATGTTATTCACTGGCCTAAAACTAGTTTGATGACGTTATTTTTAGCCATGTAGGGATATGTAAACTCCCTTTTTTAGATCCATAAGATAACTCAGTCAGTCAGCTACAACGTAGGACCAGGCACATATATACATCAGTCAAAGATGCCACACCTCATTAGCACAACAAGATGATCACCGAATTCATAGTACTTACTTCACTGGTAGTAAAATATAAAGGGAAAATTGTGTATAGGGACATAGTACGGGAAGAAAGAATTAGTTTGTAGAAAGATATAAAGCAATTTTGTTGAAGATTAAAAGACCCGGCTTGAAAATGTCTGATTTAGACGTATATATATCTCCATCCAAATTTTGATGTTAATATCAATCTGTACATTCAGTTCTAGGTATCAATCGTTTTTTTAACCTGTCAGCCTCTGTCGAATTTCTTACGACTGACGTTTCCCATTTTGCTACTGTTAATTTCAGTGTGCTATCATGACTTACAGTAAATTCATGCAAATTTGTACCAGATAAGACGTTTAGGTGTGTCGGTTAATAAGAGTAACTGGGCGAAAAACGTAGATTATTGGAAAAAAACCAAAAGTAATCAATAACTGGAGAAGATAAAAATAGAGAGGAGTAAAACTTGAGGGCAAATGAATTGATGACCCGTTCCGAGTCTATACTTTGGGGACAAACACCACCTAGCTATTGATTACAATTATCTTGCGTAGAGGTTCAAATTATCTGCGATAAGCACAGTAATACCTCAGAACACAATTGTATCTTTAGCGTCGATTAAGTGTTTTTAAGATGTTACTATAGAAAAATAATCGTTACATTATCGTGGCCAGCCTGATCAACAGATAAAAGTTTATTAGGAAATAAAAAACACACGGTTAGTTTGGAGTCATGCATTTCCAAAAACTTCGAATTTTTAAAAGCTAAAACTATAAGATTTCTAAGACAAGATATGGAAATGAATACATCTATGTTAAGCGAACTAATTTTGATTTGTCTTGTAAACTACTAGCTTTGGATAATTTGTAGCCCCCAATGAAGCTCTTTATCACCAAATAACCCGATCGTTGCTGCTACCTTGACGTGGTGGTCGGGCTTGCCTATCGTGATGAAGCAATCGAGCTATGCTGGCTGGAACAGTCGTTCCTCGAGGTCCTACCATGCCAGACAGGTCGGTTGAAGAGCGGTGAGACTAAAAGCAGCAAACCCAAGGTCCGAAGGCGAAGTCGTACTGCTGACTGTACAGAGGTGTGACGGCAGTAAGGTGTTTCCTTCAGACAACCAGCATGACAGCGATGCTGCCTTCCCACAAGGAGGGGTGGGGTTAGAAAAGGTCGACCCTAAAAATGCACACCTCGCCTTATCCCACGGATTTCCGTCTCCGGCGGTAAGGTTTTTTTTGAAGAACGGAGCTAACACAAAAACTACCGACAAAAAGGTCGTGTGTGACCGACCTCAAGCAGTTGTCCCTTGGGCACTGCGGTCACGCTCTCAGGTCATTAAGACCACTCCTAACCCAATTTCCTTTTCAGGTACCTCTAGAAGAATCCTTCCACGATGTGGGCAACCGGGAAGTGATAACTGCCCTCATACCTCTAACAACACTCAAGACCACTGTATTCATAATCAATATCCTTCTTTACTTCCTACTATTCCCTCTACCTTGACTTTCAACACTAAACTTCCTCTCTCGGTTTCCTCCTCAAGTGTCACCATGGCCAACGATTCCAGTGCGCGAAACGCTGTCCCAGGTCTACTAAAACCTCGCTCCAAACTACGCATTGGAGCCTTCAACGTACGTACCCTACGCCAAATCGGTCAACAGGCCTCCTTAGCTAAAACCCTAGAATCTCGTACCATTGATGTATGCTGTGTCTCCGAAACACGCATACAGGATCCCAGTGTGGTCATTCACTTGACCTCACCTCGCCAAAATGGACAGCCAACGAAATACACCCTCCGTGTGTCTGGCGACCCGTTGGCTATTTCTCGCGGACTTGCAGGTGTAGGCATAGCACTAAGTACAAGGGCAGAACAGGCACTATTAGAATGGATCCCCGTTAACAGTCGCCTGTGTGCTGTCCGGCTAAATGGCTCCGTAAGAACTCGGAAGGATAGGGACACACGTCGTTGCCTTTTCGTCGTTTCTGCCTACGCTCCCACTGACTGCAGCCATGATGAAGTAAAAGATGACTTTTACAGAAAACTCTCTGAGCTTCTTCAGAAAGCTAAGCGCTCAGACATAGTAGTCGTAGCGGGTGACTTTAATGCCCAGGTAGGCAGCTTAAATCAAACAGAAAGACATTTAGGTGGGTGTTTTAGTATTCCGGCTCAACGAACCGATAATGGTGATCGTCTGTTGCAACTATGCTCAGACAATCGTTTATTTTTAGCAAGCACTAATTTTAAACATAAGGAGAGACATCGTCTAACATGGCGACCACCTGCACCAAACCAACGATGGACTCAAATAGACCATATTGTCATCAGTCATCGTTGGAGAGGCTCAATAGAAGATTGTCGCTCGTATTGGAATACTTGTTTAGACTCTGATCACGCTTTAATACGAGCACGCATTTGTCTGCGCCTCAATGGACGCAGGAAAAGTACACTAAGAAGACCCATTAGGATTGAACTGGAAGACGAGAAAGCCAAATGCGAATTCCAGAAGCAACTGAGTTCACATCTAGGCAGTTCTGTAAACGAGACTGACCCAGATGCTGCTTGGAAAGACATACGAACAGCTGTGGAAACGGCAGTAACATCTATTAGTCATTTAAACCATAGGGCTCCAAAAAACCAGTGGATTTCCTCTAAGTCTATTTCACTGATGGATTCGCGTAAACTCATCCCATCAGGCTCTGAACATGACGAAGAGCGTAAACAAATTAGATCTAGGTTAACTAAAAGCCTAAGGAACGATCGTGAGCAGTGGTGGGCAACGAAAGCAAAAGAGATGGAAAAGGCAGCGGCTGTAGGCAACACCAGGCAACTATTCAGACTAATAAAAGAAACCGGAATTAAGAAGTCAAGTGTGAGTGAGACAATCTCGGAAAAAGACGGAACCCTTATCTGCTCTCAACCTAAACGTTTAGAACGATGGGCGGAACACTTTAAGGAGCAGTTTAGCTGGCCTTCAGCTACTGCACAACTACCCACTATTCCCAGAAAACCTGAATGGAACATTGAAGTAGGCCCCCCGACCCTACTTGAAGTTCAAAAGGCTATAGGTAATCTGAAACGAGGAAGAGCAGCTGGTCCTGATGGATTGGTTCCAGAGGTTTTTAAATACGGTGGTCCAATTTTAGCGATTAGGTTGACTAATATTCTGGCTAAAATCTGGGAGACGGATGTAATCCCATCCGACTGGTCACAATCACTGATTGTCCCAATATATAAAAAGGGGTCAAAATCATCCTGCGATAACCATAGAGGGATTAGTCTGACTAACATAGCATCTAAAATACTAGCCTCAATAATTATCGGGCGCCTAACTAAGACTCGTGAACTGCAAACACGAGAAAATCAGGCTGGCTTCAGACCTGGTCGTGGCTGTATCGACCACATATTCACCATTCGTCAAGTTTTAGAGCACAGACACGCTTATCGGCGTCCGACAATGATAGTTTTTCTTGACTTGAAAGCAGCATTTGACTCTGTAGACCGAGAGGTTCTGTGGCAGTGTCTGTCATTGAAAGGTGTACCTGAGAAGTACATAAACCTTTTGAAGGCTCTTTACTCGAACACTATTAGTCGAGTGAGAGCTTACGGCGAACTGTCATATGATTTTACAACCTCAAGTGATGTCCGTCAAGACTGTCCACTATCCCCATTTTTGTTTAACTTCATTATAGACCTGTTGCTGGAAATAACACTCTCTTCGACTGAATCTACAGGAATTGATCTCCTACCAGGGGGACCACTAAGCGACTTAGAATACGCAGATGACATAGTCCTGTTTGGTGAAGACGCTGACAAAATGCAGAGTCTTCTGTTGGAACTCAGTAATAATGCCAGGATGTTTGGGATGCGTTTCTCCCCATCCAAATGTAGATTGTTACTCCAGGACTGGCCTGCGTCAACACCTGAACTAAGGATAGGGAGTGAAGTAGTCGAACGCGTCGACAACTTCACTTATCTTGGAAGTCTGATCAGCCCTAATGGGTTGGTGTCAGACGAAATCTCAGCACGGATTCGAAAAGCTCGTTTGGCTTTTGCCAACATACGTCACCTATGGCGAAGACGAGATATCCGTCTATCAATTAAGGGACGAGTATACTGCGCAGCAGTTCGCTCTGTCCTACTTTACGGCTGTGAAACATGGCCATTAAGAGTAGAAGATACTCGTAGGTTACTAGTATTTGACCACAGATGCCTTAGAAATATTGCTCGCATCTGCTGGGATAACCGGGTAAGTAATAGTGAGGTTAGACGCAGGGTATTAGGGAACGATGGTAAATCAGTTGATGAGGTGATGAATCTTCATCGACTGAGATGGTTGGGCCATGTGTTACGTATGCCTGAACACCGATTACCACGACGCGCTATGATGACTAGTATTGGGGACGGTTGGAAGAGAGTTAGGGGCGGCCAAACCAAAACATGGCATCAGTGTTTGAAGTCACTAACTTCTAGCCTGAGCCATGTTGGCAGATGCAGACTACCTGGTTGGGGTCCGCGTGACTATCGTAACCAATGGTTGGAGACTCTAGGTGACATGGCTCAGAATCGGTCACAATGGCGTAGGTGTATACACTCTTTATCTTCCCTTAAACCTTGAGACTAAAATTGCTTCATATCTCTCTTCCTTCCTATACTATATCCTTATATACAACCTATAATTTATATACTACTACCAACACTAAATTAACTACTATGAATCCGGTGTTCATCTTGTTGTGCTAACGAGGTATGGCAACTTGGACCGATGCATATATGTGCCTGGTCCTACGTTGTAGCTGACCTGACCGATCACCAAATAAACAAATAAATGTAGAAATCAATAAGGGAGTGTATCCAGCTTAATATTTTTCTCAAAGCACGAGTTAATATAATAAGGTTAGCATTCAAAAACTAAGCGACCAAAGCCACAAGATATAAACAAGATGGAAACCACACTATGGAACTGGGGCTTCATGATGTCTAATGGAGGGTGTTTGGAATTCCAAGTTAGATTTGAGCGACAAGATCAATTTTCATATATACATAGGTGAAGTGCTCGTAATCTGACATCACATCGAAAGCAACAATACTAGAAGTCCATGTCTTTTCACCTCAAAATGTTATAAATCTAGTCAGATTTCACCGTGACAATCATTTTCGGATGACTCACCCTTGGCTACTGTTCACTGAGGGAGTGAAAACAGTATTTTTATTCTAATATCAGCAGCCTAACTTTGACATATATACAGGTAACTTATGAAGAGTTCTGATCTAAAGTAACAAAGTACACTCCTTTGATAAATTTGCGAATTTCATAACTTTTTTAAAGGGTGACCACTAAAAACTGGAAGCAGTCATTCAGAATAAAAATAGGGACGCTAATCCTAGCATGAGCAACGAACAATTGCCTCGGAATTGAGTATTTAATTGAGCACTTGGATTCTGCAAGATTTTGAGGGGAAATATATTTGGAAAGAGTACTACACGAGTACAAGTGAAATGAAAAAACAATCTCCCTATTTTAGGGTTTACCCCAAATTCCAATGGTCTTCCCCAGACCTGAAGCAATTTTGGGAGTTTTGTGCCATTTTCCCAAAATTTTCTATAGCGGCTTCCCCGAAATGAGGAGATTGGGTAGCTTTAACTCAATTACCAAAATATCAGAAAATCGTACCTTTAAAACTTCGATAACTCGGCGGAATTCGTCCGATATATCCAATTTGTGAGCGTCAAAAAGCAAGATGATTCTGTCTGCGCGCTCTGCAAACCACTCGATAACACCTGAAAAGTCGTAACCACGATCGACACGTTGCTTTTCGCCACTCAAAATACCAGGTGTATCAATAAACGTTATTCCGTCCAAAACACCATTGGGCATGTGCGCACACTGAAAACGATTCAAAAAGCCGTTTCCAAATTTAGAAAGAGGTCTAAACTGCTTTGAATAATCCATTACAAGAGCATTTCCAGGAATAATACCACTCCTTGCATCGTTCATGACGGCTATGAAGCTATCTGTAGTTGGTTCGGGACCTATTCGGATGCCAGGAAAGTCTTCACCAATTAGGTAACGTATAAAAGTTGTTTTTCCTGTGGAATATTGACCAATAAGCAAAACCATTGGCTTCGATTCGAAGTCGCTTTTTTCAAGCGGAGGTGAGTGGAAATCATGGAATTTGTACAAATTTTCTAGAGGAAGTAATTTTTTAAAGTACAATTTTTCAAGCCCATCAATCACATTGTCGTACACCTCCTGATCCTTCGGTCTGGAATTTTTTAGAGCGCTTAACATCGCGGAATTTAAATGACGATCGTACCCTAAAGAGATCTTCAAGGTTGTCATTCAGTGCACAAAAACCAAACAGTGCTTAGGTACTTATCTTGATAAAGCACAGTAAGACGCCAGATCTCGGACATGTAATTCGTTAACACTATTTATTGGTGCATGATGCTGTGTCAGATTAGTGGCTCTTCTAAAATTATGTTTGAAATGTAGTGTCGGTTACTATGTTAAACCCACATAGCTTATTCGAGCTTCTGGACAGGCCAATTTATCCTTTACTCTTGAGTCACATCTTGACCTTCTTGATTATTTACTTATCAAGCTTGGTTGTTTTTGAATGAATGTATGTGTGTGTACATCACATACTACTCATCACATGACTGTAGCATATTTTTGTGTGACCATAAATATTGATTAACGCTTGATTAAATCGATCACTTGCCTTCTCCATTGAGTGTCATTTCACTTCGCTTCGTTTTCTTCTATTCCTTCTCTTCGTCCCTCTGATTGTCTGTCGAGATTAATCAGTGTACAAAATATACGTATTCAAAACTTCATCCTCGTATTTGACTTATTTAATTCAGTTATTCACAAATGCGATTATATAAGAAGATTGGCGATATGTGTATTTCAGTGACGATAATCATACGATGTAAATGGAGTCCGATCTCGGGCCACTAAAGTGGTGAGCCCGTCGATAATATCGTTCAACCTAATTGACGTCAAAATGAAGGGCCTCACTAGAGAACACTACCAAGGTGATAGGAAGTCCCTAAAGGGTAAAGTCATCGTGAGACACAGTAAATACCAATAAAGTCCACAAATAATGCAAAAGAGGACAGAAAATAAATCTTTAAAGTGTACAAAACCTTTGCTTGCTATGTGGATAGACAGATAGATGAATAGATAGTATTTACTTCATTCAATATTGTATGTTTAATGCCATAAAAATTAACAACATATATAGCGTTATGCTTGACGAGTCTTGTTTGAAGGTATGGTTAAAATCATTATACATTCCCCAGTCTATGGCAAACATCTTGAACGTATCAAATACGATTTGCAAAGGTAGAAATTAAAAGTCATCGGAAATGAGAGACTTTAAATTTCTGAAGCAACTGAGTATATTCGAGGTCCGAGATTAAATGGTTATGTGGGACCAGTTGTCAAATAGAACCGTCTGGCATCTGTAATAGTTGCATAAAGAATAAAAAAGTTATTTTGACGAGGTTCATGATCAGGCGTATCTTGCCCCGTATAAACTACTGGACTAAAGTACACTGAAGGAGTCCCAATTTGAATGACAGAATAGGTACATTTCAGACAAGAACCACGGTCAAAGGAAAGAAGAATCGACGACAAACTACTCAAAAAAACCACGCATGACTGAGAAAGCCACGGATATTGTAGTTTGTCAACAGTTTACCAGAAACACCTTCTATAATTGAATCGTGCCCATCCAGTGAAATCAAAAGCCAGAAGCAAGGATGTTGGAAGATATATTTGATAGATTATAAATATATCGAGAAGTGACCTATCTAATCTGGCTAGTGAACTCAGGAGAAGTTGAACACGGCCTTCCCACTCGTGATCTGGTGCGGACGCATGACCGAGCACCTTCAGCTATGTGAGTTCAATAAAACGAATGTGGTCAGCATCCAATGTCGAACACTTACAGAGCTATTGATTTTGGGGATTTATTTACCGCTACATAAGCTAGGAGTTACGAAGCCTCAGCCTCAAGACTAACAATATAAGGTGAATTGTTTCATGTTGGCGTTTTCTTAGCCAGTTGAGTTAGTGAAAACGTAAGGTGGGTGCCGTAGAGCTGAAACAGGTTTTACTGAAGGCATGGCGTTTGCGAACCTGGCCATGTAAGAATTCAGATTCACAACCAATAAAACATATGAATGATTCACGAATTCTCCTGGAAGTCTCAGTGTCAAGTAGTCTGTCGCTACTTTATTTGCCTAAGAAATATGATGCATCATCAGTCAACTGCGAAATGTAGTCAAGTTGTCGAGACTCTGGAGAGGAGTGCTTGTCTGAGGAATCAAGAGAAACCTTAACGGATTTATGGTCGGTAAATAGAGTGTACTATCGGCCTTTTACAGAGCTTTGAAAGTGCCGTACAACACAATACATGACTGAGTTCCCTACCGAAAGTGCTTTACCACTGTTCAGTGTATTGTATTCGTCTTTAGAAAAATGACTGAAGTTGCCAGGTGTTGTTGACCCGTTGTTGTAAGTCTCCTCAATCGCCTAGTCGCATGTGTCTACAGAGTTACTAATAGATTCTTTGATGTACAGATGTGCGAGCACGTCGCTTCTGTGATAATTTCGCGATAATTACGGAAAGTGCTCTTCTCGCGTTGTCATCCAAATTGATGGATTTCACATTTTTACGACTTCGGTATGTTAAGGGTCTCATGTGAGAAGCGTAAATCTATATGAACAGTTGACATGAACTCACTGGGCCGTCTAACATACTTACTTGATTGACTGTGACTGGTCCAGGGTAATCCGGAGTGACTGTTGCGTTGCTTTCCTGAGAGTGAATTACTTGAGCTTCATTAGTATGCTGGAGAATGTCCAAGGAATCAGTTTCAATCTGACTATTCTGGAAGCTCAGTGTATTGCCATGTTTTTCGAGTCGTTCCAAAACAAGGTTCAGGTGCTGGCGATGAGGGATAACGACGTGGAATGTTTTTCGTAATCAGTCACCGATAGTCGGTAGTTGATTGACACTCCGTGCTGTCCGCTTTAAAAATCATTTACAAGAGGAGAGAACCATGTGTTGTTCAACGGCTGAATAATTTCCCAGTCTATCATATGGTAGAACGTATTTGTGGCATATCTTAGCTTTTCGAAGGCTATTCAGCGTGTCTTCGAAAATACAGGTGGTCCTGTTGTCGTGATGTGGTTCGTAACATTGCTGGTTACGTGCAGAAATTTCGGTCATGTATGGTACAGTTTAGGGTACTTGTTAATTACCCGTGGATAGAATGGGTCGACTTTGTGCCATACAGTGACTGGAGATATCCTACAGCCAGAAAATGAAGTTCCGAAAGCAGATCATTCAGTATTGCCGTCTACTAACCTTCTTTTGTGCGTATTATTGGGTGGATTACGATATCGTAGGGGGTCCATGCCAATGATTGGCATGAAAACATTTGCAACGATGAAAATCCAAATGGTGGTTCGTGTAGAAACACGTTAAAATAAACATATCATTGTCCGCATGTAGTAATCAGCTTCCCATTTTTCGCTTAGCGTTGAAGATCGGTTGATGCAGGCGGTCGTCAGAACTTGCGAGAAGAGCGCCTACTTTTGAGTCAGTGTCGAGGAAATAGAGTACTTTTGCCATCACGTTGGTAATATAAAGCAGATAATAATATTCGCAGACTACGGTTGACGTCAATATGTGCCAACTGGGATATTCCCTGGAGGGTCTTACATGTCGGAAATTAGGGAGCCAGGGAAACTGCAGGGTATTAAGCAATTTCTAGGGGACCTACGATACTAATTGTGTCACTAGTACCAACCAGGATTATTAGTCTATCGTGGTGTAAAGATATCTGTTCCGTGACGAGCTTCTTTGGGTGAGAGTTTGGCAGAGGTCCTGAACGTCCTTACGAATTATTTGAAGTTTTTTGACGGAATAAGTCTCGGCGCTAGGGAATCTGATTACATTCAGAATCCGACTGCCAGATCTAGCCAGGTCGTCCACGGCGTTATTTTGAAATGAGACAAGGACCACCTGCAGCTATTGTGGAAGGAATGTATAAACAAGCCGTAGGATTTAATATTTTCTTACTGATATACTACCAGAACTATAAACGCGAAAGTGGAGAACCCATAATCTGTTTGAAAGCTATAGTTAGAACAAGTAACCTATTTTGCTCGATAGACTTTATATGTTTCTAAACGTGAAGACAATTAAATTAGTACAATAGTTAAAGGAAGTATAGTCACTATATGGAACTCACAAATGTACGGACCAGTGGTACGTGTCTTATCGAAATGAATAAAAATTATGAGTCACAATAATGTAATAGGATAATAATGTATTTCGATTGGCAGGTCACATGCAACAGTAATAGTCCACAGACATATCAGATCAGGTTGACGCGGTAATTTCTCGAACAACGATTTGATTGGCTAGTTATGGACCTAACTAAGAAGGCCCTCGTCAGGGGTCTGTGGACCGATGGTCTCTCACACAGTAGCAACACTTCTGTTGCCAAGACTCGATATTGTGGAGGAGTTGATCTAACCTTTGTGGGTTGGTTAGGTCTTTACATTTAGGAATAGCCTTTTCAAAAGTTTCTTAAGGTCCCGAAACATCACTAGTAAACATATTAGGTGTGACGTACCTGTTAAACATCAAGCGATGGTGCTCTTGCTACTGCGAAGGATTGTGCACATGGGTTTATCACGCCCTGCTTCTGGAGGTTAGCCTCTGCGTAGCAAAACCAGGCTAGGCAATTATCAGGTCAGAATGGCATGAGTTGAAAAAAGAGAAGCGAAAGGGTATTAATCTTGAATAACTAGGAAGTCTGTTCTGCCATGATTAATATAAAGCATATGATTGAACGAGAAAAAAATATCCGAAAATATGAAAACAATATCACAATATGTAAAAATCAAAATTAAAAAATGATATATAATATTCTGGTGGTTGACGGGATTATGAAGACCACATCTGAGGGGAAATGCGAAATACAATGAACAGCTTGGATGAAACTAGGCGATATCGACTTCTCAGACGACCTGGTCCTTCTCTCCCATACAAACGAACATACATCGTGGCAATCACCAAGCTTCATCAAGAGACAAGCGCTAACTTGGAATCGTGAAGGGAAATGGGAAAGAGGAAGTCTAAAAAACACAGTGCGTCGAGAATTGGGAGCAGACATCTGTTGTATAATTTTTTGAAGTCACAATTTCCTGGTGTCTTGTTGCCAGCCTCTTAAACCTTCCACCAATATTAAGATGATTTTACACGGGGTCAAAATAGTAGGTGTAATTCATTCAAAATTCATTTGACTTGTGTTCAGGT